AGGAAAAAACATTGATGTCATGCTTAGGCCATTAATTGATGAACTTAAGGAATTGTGGACAAATGGGGTTGAAACTTATGATAGTTTCAGACAACATAATTTTATCATGAAAGCTGCATTGCTATGGACTATAAGTGATTTTCCAGGTTATGGCATGTTATCTGGATGGAGCACACATGGGAAGTTGTCATGCCCTTATTGCATGGAGAACATTAAGGCTTTTCAACTTCAATATGGGAGGAAAACATCATTTTTTTATTGTCATTGTCAATTTTTACCTCCTAAACATCCATTTCGTAGAGATAAAAAGAATTTTTATCTCAATAGAGTTGAAAAAAGTCGTCCCCCCCCCCAAGACTAGATGGTACTTTGATGAAAGAAAGGGTTAATCAGCTCTCTAACATAGTCTTTGGTCAGCCACTTCGTAAACATTCAATTGCAGGATTTGGTGTTTTTCATAATTGGGTGAAACGTAGTATATTTTGGGAATTGCCATACTGGAAGGATTTATTGATTCGTCATAACCTTGATGTCATGCATTGTGAGAAGAATTTTTTTGATAACATTAAAAAAACTGTTATGGATGACAAGGGTTGTACGAAGGATAACACCAATGCTAGATTGGATTTACAATTGTATTGCAATAGATCTGAATTAGAATTGATACCTCAAGATGATGGAACAGCTATAAAACCCAATGCTTCATTTTTTCTTAGTCGAGAGCAACGAGCTCTTATCTGTCAGTGGCTGAAGGAATTGAGATTCCTAGATGGGTATGCATCCAACATAGCACGATGTGTTAACATGCAGGAACTTCGATTGTTTGGGATGAAAAGTCATGATTGTCATGTATTCATGCAGCATCTCTTGCCAATTGCTTTCCGTGATTTCCTCATAGATGAAGTTTGGGGTCCCTTAACTGAGATCAATAACTTTTTTAGAGCTTTAACTGCTCCGATTATTCAAGTCAGTAACATGGAGATGTGGGAGGAAAAAATTGTTGAGACCATTTGCAAGTTAGAGAGAGTATTCCCGCCAGCATTCTTTGACTCGATGGAGCATTTGGCTATCCATCTACCATAT